CAGGAATGCGGGAGGGGTTGCCACTATTTTCTCCACACTGGTCGGCTTGTTAGACCAAGGCAGGGGAGTCCTGGCTTCTGACTAATTCGATCATGACTCCTTTGTGTTCTTTTTTATGCCCCACAGAGTTCCTGCGTTGAGTTTGAGAGGACAAACGTCTCCATGTTCTTGGATTCTATTCCCTTAACCTTCGAGGCAGTGAGAGACAAGATGGAGATGATGGGGATGCCTTTCAGTTTCAGTAATTGCACCCCTATTCAATGCCACCCTGGTAAGACACCCAGGCAGTGGGTGGGAGGGTAGCGTACAGACGCCTGTTGGCTGAAGGGTCACTTTCTGTGGTGGCCATGACACCCCCTGCTGAGCTGGTTCTGCCAAGTGACAGGGACAATTTGGCTGTCCATCCGTGTTTCAGAATTTTTAGGAAGAGGACAGAGGTGAGGTTCTCCTTGCCAGCTTTTTCTGCTACCATTTTTACCAACAAACAAATGACAAAAAGGCATCAAATTAAACAAGAAGCATCATCTTTTTCTTAAAAACTAATTTCTTCCCCCCCCTTAAAAAAGGAAACATCCCATTTGCGACAAAGATAACAATCTATTCACACTATTTATATGTCAGTTATCTTCTGACAATGGCAGATATAACTTAGTGCCAGGGTCCCCCGTGTCTGCCAAGTATTTTTCAAAAGTGGGTGGGTACAGGTGGGGCTTCTACCCAGCAAGGCTTTCGATTGGTCACTGGAGATTTGATTGGCTGTGCAGCTCTTGAAAAAAATTGCTTTAGCAGCAGCTGCCACCACAGCATAAGGATCTTCATTGTGTGACTGAAGGAAAGCCGTGGCAGCCATTTTGTGGGTGGCTCCACCTCCCGCAGCAGCCATTTTGTGGCTTGAGCCACAACACTATCAAAAATCCAGAGGTGCCCAGAGGCTTAAAAATGTTGGGAACCCCGAGCTTAATGGCTGAGTTACAGACCAGAAAGTTCTCAGTTTGTGTCTTGTATCTTCCTTGAACCATCCTGGGTTGGATCGTACCAGCTTTTCCACTCAATCTTTTTTGATTCCCTTCCACACTGTAGCCACAGTCCCATGTGGTTTCTGTTCGAATGGATTCCACAGTCCCCACTGTGGCCTTTTCTGTGATCAAAGGAGACCCACCTCCTCCATCTTTCATTAGTGGAAAAGCTGGTAGGATATCGCAGATGCACATAAACCCATTGGGGCTGCTGGGGGGGGGGGGGGGACTTCAGCTTTCCTCCATGCTATTTCCTTACTCTGAAGTAGCCCCAAGGAGCCAGTGTTTGCCTCATTAGGGAAATATAGAAGCACCACAATAATAAATAGTGTTTCTATACAATACCCCAATAGGAGCAGCCAGAGGTCACCATGACTTTCAGGCATGGGTGCACACACACACACAAATCCAAAAATACCCCCCAAAATTAATAATTGTGTTCTGTCGAGTTGCAGCTGATTTACAGCGACCCTCAGACCCCTCGGGCTTTCAAGTCAAGAGATGAGAAGGGGTGGTTTGCCATTTTCTGGCTCCATGTTGCGACCCTGGTATTCCTTGGTGGTCCCCCACCCAAGCACTAGCCGGGGCCAACCCTGCTTAGCTTCTGAGATCTGATGACACTGGACTAGTTGGGACTACTCAGGCTCCTTCCTGATCTTAGCAGTCTCATCCTCTTGATACTGCAGACAGACCACTGAAGCAGAAAGAATGAATGGCTGCCTTCATTTAGTGAGTTTATGGATGGCGCCGGGCTCTTTTTGTAGCAGGTACTCATTTGCATATTAAGCGACACACCCCTAATGTAGCCAATCCTCCAAGAGCTTACAGTAGCTCCTGTAAGAAGAGCTCTGTAAGCTCTTGGAGGATTGGCTACATTAGGGGTGTGTTGCCTAATATGCAAAGGAGTTCCTGCTACAAAAAGAGCCCTAAGATTTTAACTTGGGATTTCCCAGCTTCCCTTAAAGCCACTGTTCTGCACCGCCCCCAGCCATTTAGTTAAGGGTGGTTTATTGGTCACTTAAGCATCTCCATATTGCCTCCTGCTTGTTCTTACTACCGAAGGCGCTGGGCCTCTCCCCCTCCTCTAATCAGTTTTTCTTTTAAATTACAGAGTCTCGTAGCACTCCATACCCTGGTTACTCTAAGCAAGTGCTGGAAGACACGCAGGCATCCAAATCAGCCGTCCTCCAGAGACATCACTGGTTTCTGATTCCAATCCCCTTGCTGGCCTGTCTTTTCAGCATTGTGAAGCTTTCAGGCAGGGTCCCATTCCAGCCATTGCCGGTGAGTCTGACGCAAAAGGAGTCCACGTCCAAAAAGAGATCTAGAGCTCAGTCCTTTCCGCATTTGCCTGTCACTCCAGATTTTCTTAGTGTTCAAGTTGAGGCAATTTAAGGCTGATTCTGCCTGGCTTTTCTCTTTGTTGTTTTACGAAACCCACCTTGGAACAGAAATTCCCCTCTACATTGCATGCTGCTTTCACTTCCTTTGATTATCGGGTTTTATGGTAGCTTCCACATCCCATGCCACTTTCGAGTTCTTTGATCGTTGGATTTTATTATTTATTTATTTATGCTTTCGACTTGTATCCCGCTTGAACCCCCGGAGGGTCTCTGAGCGGCTTACACAATTTCATTTATCCTTATCTATGGCCACATCGTCAGGGGTGGGGACTGCCCTACCGACACCCAATGGTGGGACTCGCTGTTCTTCGGCTTTTTACCTTTTTATACCTTCTGCATAGATTTATGGCTGTTTTATGGCTGTCCAAGGGTGACTTTGCAGTCAGTACGGCATTGCCTTGAGGTATTTGAATGTGGTTTTGAGCTACACTTTTTCCTCCCAGTTGAGAAAATGTGGAGTGAATGCTAGATGCGGAATCGCCCTAAGTCCAGGGCAAAACAGCATCCAAATAACCCGGGGCAACAACAGGCTGAAACCGGGCTGACCACTGGAGGGAGGTAATGCAATGCAGAATGGGGCAAAAACCCAGAATAAAAAGAAGGTTGAACTCGATTTTAATGCAGAATGGGGGGGGGGACACCTGGATTAAAAAGAAGGCTGAATTTGATTTTAGTGCAGAATTGCTTGGAGGACACTGCGGTGAACGTGGAGTGCAGAAAGGGCACTAGAAGGAATGCAGTGAAGGGTGAAACAAAGTTAACAATGAAGGGACTGGAGCACCTTCTCAAAGTGGAAAGTGACTCTTTTTGTAGCATAGGAACTCCTTTGCATATTAGGCGACACACCCCTAATGTAGCCAATCTTCCAAGAGCTTACAGTAGCCCCTGTAAGAAGAGCTCTGTAAGCTCTTGGAGGATTGGCTACATTAGGGGTGTGTCGCCTAATATGCAAAGGGAAGTTCCTGCTACAAAAAGAGCCCAAGGCCTTCTTACTTTAGGGAGTGTTGGATATTTTAGCGGAGTAAAAGGGAACCACACAGCATACATGTGTAAATTAGTTCAAAGAAAGTTTTCTAAGAAAATTAGGAAGGGTTACACAAGAGGATTTAAAAAAAACCCGGTCTATCTAGCTACATCTTTGTAGTTACTGTTTACTCCAAGATGGGTTCTCTGTTCTGATCTTAGAACAAAGGGAGCAGGAAGCAAACCCCTAAATGCGTACGTGCAAAATATCAGGTGACGTCACCCAACTATGAATTGACCAGTGACCAGGCTAAAGGTCACTTCATTATGAATAGGACTTCCCCTTCGAGCACCTTCTACTCATAGGTTCTAAGTTAACTAACTATAATTAGCATACATAAACAAACCAATTAATTCTCTCATGACATCAGGAAGTGAACGTGCAGACGCTCCAACAGGGAGTAAAGGTGATCAGTGTTCCCTCTAAGCTGAGTTAGTGTGAGCTAGCTCACAGTTTTTTAGCCTCCGGCTCACACATTTTTGTCTTAGCTCAGGAAGGATGGCTCCAGAGCAAACTAATTTACGCAGTAGCCAAATCACTCACTCACAACTTTAATGGCAGTAGCTCGCAAAGTAGAATTTTTGCTCACAAGACTCCGCAGCTTAGAGGGAGCATTGATGGTGATGCAGGATGAGACATAACTGAGTTGTCGAAAACTAGGCATGGTGTGTAAACAGAAATACAAGAATTCCGGGTCTCCCAAGGAAGCTGATGAGCTGTAGCAGGTGGGGGCCAGCAGCAAAGGGAAGGACATCTTTGCACAATGCAAAAATAACATATCAAATTTACTGTCCCAGGCTTCAGGCTGTCTTGGTGGTGGGAAGTGCTGTCAAGTTGCAGCTGATGACCCTGCTTAGCTTCTGAAACCTGACAAGATCAGGCAAGCTTGGGGCATCCAGGTCCCGGCCCAAATCCATTAGGTTCTAATTAAAAATAGCACTTTTTTCTGGGTTTTTTTTTTGCAAAGCTGGTTCTTCTTTGTTTTGACTTCCCCTTTTAAAGCCATCAAAGTTAGCCGCCATCACTACCGTATTTTGCGACAGTGAGTTCCGCAAGTGAATTATCGCATAGGTGGATGAGGTGGTGGAAAGCGCCGTCAAGTCACAGCCAACTTATGTCGACCCCGTACAGTTCTCCATTGCCTACCCGGCCTTCCTTGATGGTCCCCTATCCAGGGCTATTTTTGGGCAGGAACGCACAGGAACGGAGTTCCGGCTGGCTCCTGAGTTGGCCACGCCCAGCAGGAACTCATTAGCATAATAGGCCACACCCAACAGCAGGATCTCATTAGGATTGGCTGTGTTAGGGGTGTGTGGCCTAACATGCAAAGGAGTTCCTTCTACAAAAAAAAAGCTCTGGGTTTTGACAACAAACAAGGTAAACAGAATAAGAAGGGAAAGGTGGGTGTGGCTGGATGACCACACTTCTGGTAACATGGGGGTGCGGCCTAATGTACTAACGAGCTGTGCTGTCAGGGGTGTGGCCTAATATGCTAATGTGTTCCTGCTGTTGGGTGTGGCCTATTATGCTAATGAGTTCCTGCTGGGCTTTTTCTACAAAAAGAGCCCTGCCTCTATCCAAATGCTGACCTGGGTCAACCCTGCTTAGCTTCCCAGATCTGACAAGAGGGCTAGCCGGGGCCACCTTTGCATTGGGCAAAGAAATATTTCCTTGTGTCTGTCCGAAGTCTACTGCCCCTGGGCATTCTGGGTGAGGGGGAACAGCAGTGGGGCAGCCGGAAGCAGCCCACCCGGTGTGCTTTTAAGGTCTCGTTTCTGGTCTTTTAGTGCTGTAGCTATTTGACCTATGGCAGTATTAGAGCTCTGCAAGCTTCGATTGTAAGCTGGCTCAAGAACCAAACATTGGCCGAGAGCGCAAGCTGCAAGGGGTTAACATAAATAAATAATCAGGGAGCTCCTGCAGAGATCCAAAGTCCGGTTTCTGCAACACAGAATCAGGTGGTCAGCCGTGTTGGTCTGAAGCAATCGAACAAAGTTTGATTCCAGCGGCACCTTTAAGACCAGCAAAGTTGAGTTCTGGGTATAAGCTCGTGTGGACACAAAAGCTGATACACAGAGTTCAACTTTGTTGGTCTTAAAGGTGCCACTGGAATCAAACTTTGTTCTGTTTCTGCAACATAGTTAGTGCTCCATCTTGGCTTTGGTTCCACAACCCACATCCCACCTTGTCTGTCTTTTGCAGCTTCAAGTATGAGCGAATGGAAGGGATGACCTTGTCCCAAAGCGAAAAGGACGTCTTCCTTCCCGTTATGCACCTTTGACAGAAAGACCCTTCCTGCTTTCACTTTCCTCCCTGCGGGATTGCATTTGCAGGCCTCAAAACTAGGGGACATCAACAGATTTTGTGAACACGCCATTTTGATGCAAACATCCCAGCTTCGGACATGAGTTTTCCCCACTTGGGACAAGTCTGCAGTCGTCCTTTTTCATTTTCTGCTGACCGCGCCAATGAAACTCTTCATTTCTTCCTGTCCAAACTCATGCCTTTTTCTGAGCGTGTGCGTCAAGGGGTATAAAAATGGTGTAAGCTATGAGAAAAACAGTGTAACAAATGCCATATAAGCTGAAACAAATTGGGACCCTCCAGTAACGAGCACAGGAAAAGACAAAACGGCCTTACGGTGACAACGTACAAGAACAGAGAAAGAAACGGATGAAAAGGTTGTGCATTCCTTTTTTTTCCTGCTGCAACACCTACTTGGAGAGGTGGGGGAAGGAGGAGAAAATGGACTCCGCAGAACATATACAATGGAGACACGATTGCTTCAGTACCACATTGTGTCAGAGGATGGTGCTGTGTCACAATTTTTATACTGACAGTGACAGATTTTTTTAAAAAAACATATTTTTATTTTGTATAAATAAAAGCAATGCTTTGGAGCTATGTGAATGTATCGTTTAAGTGGCACTACGTGCAAAGGGCTTCCTGGGTTTACCCAGTCTCACTGGAACGGTCTCTTTGGGTATAAACGCCGCTTAAAGGTAAAGGTTCCCTTGCTCGAAAGCCAGTCAAATCCGACTAGGGTTGCGGTGCTCATCTCCGTTTCAAAGCCGAAGAGTCAGCGCTGTCCGAAGACATTTCCGTGGTCATGTGGCCGGGATGACTAAACGCCAAGGTGCACAGAACGCTGTTACCTTCCCACCGAAGTGGTACCTATTTATCTACTTGCAATTTCTTGCTTTCGAACTGCTTTTTGAACAGACAAAAATCTCCCCACTGGCCCGCTTTCGGTCAGGATCAAAGCCTCCAAACCACTTTGACAAGGGTGATCCGGCTAGCCTGACCTGAGAGGGCATCTCAGCTGGGTCCACTATTGGGTACACACAATAGGAGCCAGCGTGGGATAGTGGTTGGACTGAGGACTGGGAAGATCGGAGTTCAAATCCCTGCTCAGCCAGGAAGCATTCAGTTGGATCCAACCCAATTTCCTGCCGGTGGGGGGAAAAAAAGAAAAGGAAAGAACAGTCCCCTCCACCCACCAAAAAATGCCAGGAGAGGGCCATGCCTTCTTGACATGCAGAAGGTCCCCGTTTCAAACCCTGGCATCTCCAACGAAAAGGTGATGTGAAAACGAAAGAGCTTCTGCCAGTCTGAGTAAATAATAATGACCTTGATGGATCAATAGGCTACTCCAATAGAAGGTGGCTTTGTGTGCCGTGCCGGGGCTCATCGGACCTGCGCTACGGCAGAGGGGGAGGGACTGGGCAAGGCTGAGGGGAAAAGCTGGCCGGATCCAACCCGTTCTCTCTTGGCCCAGCCTGCCTCACAGAGTTATTGTGAAGACAAAACAGGGAAGGGAGAACCATCTAGGCCACCCCGAGGTCCTCAGGTGGGATAAAAATGAGGCAGATCGATAATCACCTCAGAACTCTACCTCCTCATTCTGATGCATTTGCAGACGAGGCCTTAAGACCAAACCAGACATGACCCCATTACGTGTTTATTTACTCACATGTCTGCTTGTTCACACATAAAGAGGGGTGCAGAAAACAGAGCATGCAGGTGAGGGGAGCGAACTGTCGCTCCCTCCCCCTCCTTCCCTCACCGTCTCCATAGCTTTAAGGTGCCTCAAACAATAATGCACAAGAAGCTAAAGACGGGGCAGGGTTTACCTGTCCTTACCTGCCCCCTCTTTCTGTTTTTTTAAGAGCCAAATTCCATCCACTTTGCATGTGAATGGGTAGAGATGCGCATAGATATACACGGGGCTATTTTTGGGCAGGAACGCACAGGAATGGAGGTGGCCCCCCCCAAGAGAAACTCATTAGCATAATAGGCCACACCCAACAGCAGAAACGCATTAGGATTGGCTACATTAGGGGTGTGTGGCCTAACATGCAAAGGAGTTCCTGCTACAAAAAAAGGCCTGGGTTTTGACAACAAACAAGGTAAACAGAATAAGAAGGGAAAGGTGGGTGTGGCTGGATGACCACACTTCTGGTAACGTGGGGGTGTGGCCTAATGTGCTAATGAGCGGTGCTGCCAGGGTGTGGCCTACTATGCTAATAGGTTTCTGCTGTTGGGTGTGGCCTATTATGCCAATGAGTTCCTGCTGGGCTTTTTCTACAAAAAGAGCCCTGGATATACATTCATCCCTCTGTCTTGTCTCATTTGGTCCTTTGTTGCCTTCCCCATCTGCCTTTCCCAATCTGTAAAAGGACTCGGTGTAGCTCCAAAGCTCACCCACTTTTCATACCACTCGAGCATACCAGTTTTACGTCTATTAATAAATCCTGGGGCCAACATGGGGTTATCTTGTCTATCGTGAATGACCGTCATGCCTGGAGGAATTAACTGCACCTGGGGTTTTAGTGTTTGCTTGTTTTAACAAACAGGTTTAGGATTTAGATCCCGATACAACAGAAGATGCGGGTGATTTGTAGGCTAGCCTCTCAGGACAGATGGCAGGCTCCGGAAGCCTTCCCTCAGCGGTTGCTTGTGAAACGGCAGAAGGACCAAGTGCCTCTAACACATCTCCCGTGAACCAAGCAGGTGCCCACTTCGACCCACCACCTCCCGCCGACTCCCCCTCCTCGCCCTCCGCCTCCCATTTTCGGCCTCTGATTAAAGAGAGCCGTCTGCTCAGTCCCAGTTAGGGGTATTATCCTCATGTTCATTTCTTCTGTAAATGTCATTCCTCTGCTCCTTTCTCCGGTCTGTAATCTTTCTTGACCACCTCCTCCTCCTCTCCCCCCCCATACTTGGACTTTGACGTCGTCGAGTGACGGGGGTACTAAGCTGCCACCGGTTCCCCTTTTGCCGCCGGCCTTCTTCAGATCCCCCTTCGCCTTCCACCAAGACAGACCACCACCCCCTCCACAGCTGGGGTAAGGAGCAACAGGAGAGGAGGGAAAGGGTCGGCAGGGAGGGGTGTAAAGGGACAAGGGTGAGATGCTACGTAGAGCACAACCTCTTGTATGGTCTTTATTACCCTTTGGGATGGGGCAAAGAGGGGTTTTTCATGATGTTCCCCTCTAGGGGGCGCTGTCTCATGAGATACCAAGGAGAGAACTGGGCATGGGTACCTGCATCCTTTAGAGGCCCTGGTACCCAGGATATATCACTGTTGGGGGTGGGAAAACCAGGGAATAGGGTATGGAATTGTAATTATGTGTGTCTTGTATAAGCTTATGAGTGGCCCCACTCCAGTGTTTTACCATCAGTTTGACAAATTTAACTAGGCGATGTTTTGCTTAATTTTTGCTTGCCGAAGGGCTGTTGCTGAAAGCAGAGAAGCAGCGTGAATTTATTAAGAGTTGGCAAACCAACCTGGAGGCAGAGAAGCCCTAAGAACTGGTACGGTGGAGCAGGGAATGGGAACCTTTTCTTCCTGATATATGTGCCTCTCTGTATGTTTTCTGACTCAGATGCAGTTATATTGGAGGGAGGGAGAGAGGGAGCAGGAGCACAGTTTTGTGTCCAAGGGCTGCTATATGTGTGATGCTTTTCAGTACGTGGTGACAGTGTTGGTTTCAAAGGTGAGGTGACAGAAATCAGACAAAGTGGCATCTTTCTATTGGGCCGGTGTAGGTTGACGTAAGAGCACGTAGGCTTTTGAATCCACCAAGGTACTTCATCAGATTCTTAGATGAAGGATTCTGGGAAACATGAAAGCTTGCATAACTTTGCACCTGCCCAAGAGAGATCAAAGCAAAATATTGTATTTATTCTCTGTCTTCAGTCTGAAGATTTGCTGGGGGAGGAGAAGAATTGGGAAAGTGGCACTTGTCGATTTCTCCTCTAGGGGGTGCTATCTCTCGGTTTGCTCAAGGAAAATACGGAACCCTCATTCTTACCTGCTTTGATCCAAAATTGAATGCATCCTTTAAATATATATATATGTCTTACCTTGGCTCAGCCGCTCTGCAAGTGCACAACAGGGCAGAGAGCAACTTCTTCAGCCACCTTCAGGCATTACATTTCTGCAGGGCTTTTTTTGTAGAAAAAGCCCAGCAGGAACTCATTAGCATAACAAGCCACACCCAACAGCAGAAACTCATTAGCAAAGGGCGTTGTCATGTGTACGTCCTGCAGATGTCCCAGACCTGGCGGCACAGTCTGAGAAGCAAGGCAGACATTCCCAAAAGGTTATGTGTCACCCCAGGAGACAGGGAAGCCATGACAAGAGATCTTGTCTTTCATCATTACAGCGTGAAGTGAACAAAGATGAGAACATTGGCAGGGTTTAGAACTTTGGAATTTACACACAGATCGAGAGCTGCCTTTCCATTCCCTGTCCAGTGGAAAACCACTCAGGTTTCTTCTAGTTTTTAACCATTTAGGACAACATGTCATTTCTGCTTTCGGGTATGTCTTGCAGGCAGGGCGTTTTTTTGTAGAAAAAGTCCAGCAGGAACTCATTAGCATAATAGGCTACACCCAACAGCAGAAGCTCATTAACCTATTAGGCCACACCCCATGCCTTTCCTTGGCTTGCTCAGGTGCCCTGCGGCTGCAGGGAGCATGGGCAAGCCCCCTCCCCTTGAAGGGAAGGGAAGGCAGTTTAAACTGTGGGGCGCAGCTGTGGGACACCCAGGCAAGCCGGCCCTTGGACAGGCTGGGGAAGGCACGGGGAGGCATTTAAATACCACCCTGATCCTTCCAGGGCCCCCCCCTGGCTGGCCCACCTCGGAGTCGCCGGGGGGGGGTCACTCTCCAGGCCTTCCCTCTGTAGCCAGGCACGCAGTGGTTTTGGCTGTAGTGGGCATGGTCAACTATGAAGCCAGCCGGAACTCCGTTCCTGTGCGTTCCTGCCCAAAAATAGCCCTGATTTCTGGCCTTCCTGTCATGCACTGGAAGAATGCACTATGTGTGATTCTTATGGACAAATCACCGTTTTATCTGAAAAGGGCAATGTGTGCACTTTCCAGCCATGGTACATGCTGCCTGAAACCTGGGTTTTGATGATTTGTACATAGAGAAGCTACAAGATACACATGGAACCCTTTTCAGACAAAACGGTGATCATGTGTACCTATCAAAAGGGTTATATAGAATATACTCTCCGTATGTGCGGTTGGGCTCGGGGGGGGGGAAAGTAGGATTGGCAGATCCAGGTTGGGAGACTCCTGGAGATTTGGGGGTGGAGCCTGGGGAGGACAGGGACCTCAGTGGGGCGCAAGGCCACAGAGTCCAGCCTCCGAAGCATCCATTTTCTCCAGGGGAACTTATCTCTGTGGTCTTAATTCCAAGGATCCCCTGGTCCCACCTGCAGGTTGGCATCCCTGGGCAGGGTCCCCTTTTCTATGTTTAGTCGTGTGACCAAAACGAACCAGAGAAGCCAGAAGCGATGGAATATGGGTTAGGAGAGCCAACACAGAGATTTATATGTGTACGAGTCTGCTCCGTTTACATATAAAGCAACAGAGGGGGGAAGGAGGAGGTACTTTTGGCCCAAAGACAAAATGTGGATGCCGGGAGCCGAACCCCTCCTCTCACGCATACAGCTGACCTTGCTGCGCTCAGCTTGTTTCTTGGAGCCAGCTGGGGGAGAGGGCTTGGGTGCACTGCAGTAAGGTCAGGTGGGGGACAGGGAGGCCTTATCCCCCTCCCTTGCACACTCTTCTCTGTGCCAAAGAACAGATCGGCCAGTCACAGTGCGTTACGTTTCCCTTCTCACTTGCAGGCTAGAACCATGTGTAGAGAGAGCTCCAGAGCCCGGCAAGGTCAGCCCTTGGCCAGAGCTCCAGCACGCTGCAAAATGCCCAGGGCTACAAAGCGTTGCCCTTTGGGAGGTGTCTCAAAGAAAGGCCTTTCCTCCCAACACCTGATACCTGAAGAAGGAGGGGATTGAGCCCGGGGCCCTTCGACACATGCTCTTGCACTGAGCAACATGAGCTAGCCGGCTTTCTCTTCGTGCCCCTGTGTAAAAGTAGGATTCCCCTCATTGGATCTGAAGAAGTGGGCTCTGTGACAGACAGGAGATGATCCCACCCTCTTTTCCTCCCCATTCAGCTTGGACCAGTCAATTCTGAAAAGCTGAAAGGGGAAGAAAAATCTGGTGTGTGGGGGGGAAATAACACCTGCTGCTATGTTATGAGGTGGTCAGATACAGGATTACTAGAATACGCTCACTTGACGATCCTTTAACTCAGGGGTCCCCCAAATGGTGCCATGGAGTCTACTGACACCTTTTCTGTGTTTTTAGGAAGTGGGAGGGGCCAGGTAGGGCTTTTGCCCAGCAAGGCTTCTGATTGGCTATGAGAGATTTGATTGGCTGTGCAGATTTTTTAAAAATGTTGCTTTGGCAGCAGCTGCCACCACAGCACAAGGATCTGCACTGTGCAACTGAAGTTAAGCTGTGGCAGTCATTTTGTGGCTGGCTCCGCCTCCTGTAGCATCCAGGTCATAGGTCAGTCAGGGCTCAGCGACAGTGAGGTCTCCTCAGAGGAGGAGTTGTCCTGTGTAGCCAGCCCAGAAGTCAGTACAATCCATTTTCTGGCAGCTATTTTGTTGCTGTGCCAACCACGTCGTGTCAGGATTCCAAATGTGCCCCCAGGCTGAAAAAGGTTGGGGATCGCTGCTTTAATTCACAGTTGCTAGGGAAAGTTTATCCTAGACTCAGGCCCCGGTCACACTACAAAGTTGCTGTGGGAGAGGCACAGAAGGTGGGCAGATTATCCGGGCGCAATCACACCCCAGCATCTGGGAAGTGGAGCGGACCCGTGGCTTACCGCCGACAATGCACATTAAAAAACGAGTACCTCCAAGGTACTAGTGAACTTTGCCACGGGCTGCCTCCAGACGCCCATGGTGTGATCGCGCTGGCGCGCAGCATTCCCCTCCGGTCCCTCGTTTACCCACCGGTGCTGAGGGAAGGACCCGTGGTGTGCCGCCAGCATGGCCCGTGTGACCGGGGACTCAGAGACCTTTCCGCACTTGGATCCCATCCCCGGTTTTAGCAGAGTTCAAATCACAATACAATACCTTGCATTTATCCCTGGCTATAACAGCATCCATTTATCCCAGGACAAGTGTGGGGCGAAACTGGAGAGTCCTCAATGTAATGTGGAAACAAAAAATACCCCAAGATAATTGCAGGGGTGAACTTGAGTGTAGTGTAGAATGTAGGTTCGGGGACAGGGTTGGACCAGGATTTAAAGTCTAGTGCGGAATCACCACAAATGGGAAGGGTGACTGGTTGCTGCACTAATTTTATGTTGCTTCCTCGCTTTGATGCCAGCCAGTCAGTCCTAAGCATGATTCAACCCCGCCCCCCCTTGCAAAACAGGATGTCATGGCCTCCGCCCTGAGCCCACTATCCAAGCCAGGACTTTCTCGAAGAGGAACTCAAACATGACGCACATCAAATGATTAAGATGTTTTTTGGAATGAGAACGGAGGGGAGACAGGCTAAGTTCCTCCTCTTACTTCTCAAAGTGGCCTGATTGTAAGACCACCTACACAGAAACGCCTCCACCCAGGCCCCAATATACATTTCACCCACATTTTCTCCCTCCCGCAACTGCTGACAAGGGGCAGAAGAGGAGCAGGATTTTCTGAGGGGAACGAGGGAAAGATTTGTGGCTCCTGAGGGGAACTGTGAGAATCCTGGGGTTTGAGGGAAGGGAAGGCCAGTATTCGCCTCAGGGTTACAAACTTGGCTGCTAACTGCTCTCAACTCTCCTAAGCTGTCAACTGCAGGGCCATTTTTGGGCAGGAACGCACAGGAACGGAGTTCCGGCTGGATCCCGAGTTGGCCACGCCCAGCAGGAACTCATTAGCATAATAGGCCACACCCAACAGCAGGAACTCATTAGGATTGGCTACATTAGGGGCGTGTGGCCTAACATGCAAAGGAGTTCCTGCTACAAAAAAAGCCCTGGGTTTTGACAACAAACAAGGTAAACAGAATAACAAGCAAAAGGTGGGTGTGGCTGGATGACCACGCTTCTGGTAACACGGGGGTGCGGCCTCATATGCTAATGACCTGTGCTGTCAGGGGTGTGGCCTAATATGCTAATGAGTTCCTGCTGGGCTTTTTCTACAAAAAGAGCCCTGGACTCAATTGTAACTTTAATCAATACCGTGAATAAAACTTTGTTGGTCTTAAAGGTACCACTGGACTCTAACTTTGTTTATGAGTAACTAGCGTTATGGGCCAGGGCTGGTTCTAGGTTTTGATGGGCCCTGGGCAGAGAGTGCTCAGGGCTCCCTCCTCCCCTCCAACGCCCCACCACCAGGACCCCTGCTCACACGTCCCTTCTTCCCTCCCCCACGTATCCCCTGCACCTACAGCCTTCCCCTGCCTGTTCATGACCCTTCCCACAGTCACCTGCATGCTCTTTCCTCAATGGCACTGGGAGGTGTGTGCAGCTGGGAGGGCCAATGCCGTGACCATCACCCTCTGCCCCCACCCTGGCAGTGCTGGGCAGCCCAGGTAGCCAGGAGCCCAGGAGGTGGAGCACGTGCAAGCAAGTGTCCAAGGGAAGGGCACACAGGCAGAAGGCGGAGGGTGGGGTTAGAGATGTAAAATTTCCAGAAATTGTTTTCGGGGGGGAAACGGAAATTTTCGGAAAAATTGAAAAAAATGCTACATTAGCATTTCTTTTGTCTTTTCTCGATTGAAAGTCATTCTGTTACTTTAGGAACATAAAATATGACTATGGACATTTTTACTTGGCATGAAATTATCACAACTAGCATATTAAAAATATAGTGTATCCAAACAATTATTACAAACAGAATACCCACCCACATGCAAAAACAAAACTGAAACCTTTTTATTTTCTTCTGACAATAGCACCTCCTAAAGGAAGAAATGCATCTTGTTCTTGCATTGGAGAGTTCCGTTTGTAACCTAGGACTTGCTTGTCCTCAGTGCACAGAAATTAGATCAATCTGATACCATACATATTTTTTTAGAAATGATTTGGAAAATATTTGAACACCTTGTCTTAAAATATTTTATTCATCATGTTAAAATAAAACGTTCCATAATCAATTTCTTTTCTTTTCTTTTTTCAATTTTTCCGATTTTTCGGAAAAAAAACAAAAAGGCTTCAGGGAAAAAACGGGAAAAACCGGTTTTTCCCCGAATTTTTCCAGTTTTTTCCGGGCCTTCACATCTCAATGGCCATGTGCCCTGCCAGAAGCCCTGGACCCTGTCAGATGCCTCACTTCAGAGTATGCTGAGGCCAGCCCTGGAACGGGCCCAGCAAAAACTGTGTTATACCTGTCAATAGAGTCTGTTATCTTTTTCCGAACTACCTTAGTCCCCTACCCTTGGGTATAAATAAAAGTGACTGCTAGGGACGCCAGCCTCCAGGTGGGACCTGGAGACCCCCCAGAATTACAGCTCATCTCCAGACTACAGAGAGTAGTTCCCGTGGAGAAAAAGGACACTTTGGAGGGTGGACTCTATGGCCTTTAACCCCACTGAGGTCCCTGTCCTCCCCAGGCTCCATCCTTAAATCTCTAGGACTTTCCCAACTTGGATCTGACAACCCTACCCCCACATCCCCCCACCAGTGGCCAGGGCAGATCTGGCAACCGTAGCTACTGTTCTTTTTCTTTTTCCCTCACAGATACAAACTTATTTTACTCAGAAGCCACTTGGCCTTAGTCTGTCAAGTGGAGGGCTGGGGTCGAGACCACACTTTGTCGAGCTTCACCTCACGCTTCCTCTGTTTAAACATTTTAAAGAAACCAGCCTCCCCATGTTTAGATTCGCATGTGGCAGACCAGGTGGCGCCCTTTAAGAACGGAGCTTATCCCACAAGCTGCCAATAGCCGTCCTCATTTATCATTTAATACTGCAGAGTGCTCTGAACTTTTAAAATATGCTAAATATTCTGTTCACTATCTGTTCTTTGGGAGCAAAGTCTCCGGATCGAAGGATGTGAAGTTGGATCCTGTCAGCTTTTCCACTCGGCCGACTCGCATGGACAAAATCCACGTGGCTCAGGGGGTGCGGCGAAAACCCAGGTGAGAGCAAGCACAAACGCCAGTAAAGTGCAACCCATGGTCACCAAGCGGTCTTCCACCCCAGCACCTCGGGTATCAGCAGTGAAGAACAGGGCTTGCTGTTCTTCCAAATATAACCTTTTCCCCTCTTTTCCCTCTCCTCAAGCCAAAACCAAGGGGCTTTGGGACTGCCCCTGGAGATGACTAACCATGTGGAGGTCCCCATGGCAGATGGCCCTCCCAGCATTAGCTTGGAAGAGTTACCAAAAACTTGCCTGGATAAGTACTGTGGCTGGCTGATGCGAAATGCGCTGCTCACCCTGACTATACTTGGTAAGCCACAGTGTGACTTGAACACAGAATGATGTTTTACCCATTGGGGAGAAAAGTGGAGTATTGATATCTGAATCAATAAAAATTACGGACTCTCAATGGCTCTCCAGGTGAGGAGCATGCTCTGTCCTCATTGGGCTGGTGGGGCAGTCTTCTTTCCTTAAAACATATAAACATCGAGCGTGTCCAGAAGAGGGCAACCAGGATGGTGAGAGGGTTGGAATCCAAGTCTTATGAGGAAAGGCTGAAAGAGTTGGGTATGTTTAGCCTGGGAAAGAGAAGGCTTAGAGGGGACATGATTGCAGTCTTCAAGTATCTGAAGGGCTGTCATGTAGAAGATGGAGCAGATCTATTCTCTCTTGCTCCGGATTGCAAGACTAGATCTAATGGGTGGGAATTACAAGGGAGTCGTTACCGGCTAAATATCAGGAGAGACTTCCTAACTGTAAGAGTGGTTGAGCAGTGGAACAGACTGCCTCGGGAGGTGGTGGATGCTCCTTCGCTGGACGTTTTCAAGCGGAGGGTGGACGACCATCTTTCGGGTATGTTGTAGGTATGTAGGGCTATCTTTCAGTATACTCCTGCAGAGTGCAGGGGGTTGGACTAGACGACCTGCAAGGTCCCTTCCAAGTCTAACATTCTATGATTCTATGATAAAGATATATTTTGATGCATCTCTAGGGAGTTCCCAAGTAGCCTGGAACCCTGGTCCTGCCTGAAGGCAAATCAGTTTTGTTCCCTTGTGATAGAAATGAAAGTATAACATTGACTAACAACAGGGAACAAGCTTTGGGGTATGAAGGGTCACACACGCAAGAGAAATTATTTACAAATTCATCTGCAAACACGCAAGTCTTCCCCTTTCTAGGATTCGACACGACTTCAGGGGCTTGAGCACCCCAATTTTCTGCACAGACGCCAGCCTCCTGCTATGTGCAGACCAATGTTCCCTCTAAGCTGTGGAGTCTTGTGAGCAAAAATCCTACTTTGTGTGCTCCTGGCATTAAAGTTGTGAGCGAGCGATTAGTTTGCTCTGGAGCCATCCTTCCTGAGCCGAGACAAAATTGTGTGCGCTGGAGGCTAAAAAACTATGAGCCAGCTCACACTAGCTCAGCTTAGAGGGAACACTGGTGCAGACCTAGTGCCCTAACCTGGATAGGCCAGGCTACCCTGATCTCATCAGATCACAGAAGCTAAGCAGAGTTTGACCCTGGCTAGTACTTGGATGGGAGACCACCAAGGAATACCAGAGATGTAATGCAGAGGGCAGGCAATGGCAAACCACCTCTGGACGTCCCTTGCCTTGAAAACCCTACAGGGTCGCTATAAGTCAGCCGTGACTTGACGGCAAACAAACAACAACAGTGGCTATCACAATACTAATCATAATTATTATGTGCTATGTACTTGATAGGAGCTGCGGTGGCTCAAGTGGTTAAGACGCTGGACTGCAGGCTGTGAAAGGTCGGTAGTTCAGCAGTTCGAGACCCGAGTGTGCCGCATGACGGAGTGAGCTCCCGTCTCTAGTTCCAGCTCCTGGCAACCTAGCAGTTCGAAAGCAAGAAATTGCAAGTAGATAAATAGGTACCACTTCGGTGGGAAGGTAACAGCGTTCCGTGCGCCTCGGCGTCTAGTCATGCCGGCCACATGACCACGGAAACGTCTTCGGACAGCGCTGGCTCTTCGGCTTTGAAACGGAGATGAGCACCGCAACCCTAGAGTCGGACTCAGCTAACTTTCGAGCAAGGGAACCTTTACCTTTACTTTATGTACTTGATAGGGTATGGATAGACTTTGATTGTGCCCTTCTAAAACCTGTCTTCTCCACCACTTTGGTTTTGGTTCTCCTCTAAGTCCCTTTCTCTTCCTCCTCCACTTGCAAGAAATAGACGGTCCTTTTAAAATCAACTCTGCTCTTTCAATCCAGACTCTCCCCAAGGAGGTCACTGGAGGCCAAGAACCCAGCCATGTTGCAGGGCAGCGGTGTGTGTGGCCGTGTGAATCAGGCTGCTAAACATGGCTGGTTGCCCAGAACTGGAGATTAGATTAGGGGTTTGTGGGTTACTTACTACCCGGTCTGGGTTTTTTTTAAAAAAGCTCTCGCTGATAGATCATTTATCATCTATTTATTTTTCCCAGGATGGGGGAGCAGCTCTGGAGCCATGACAGCAGTCTCAGCCACTGTTGTTTGGGGAGCAGGCCCACTTTCCTAAACTGAATTGCATTGGGACCCATGGGACATTTCCAGAATTAAAATGGCTCTTTCCTCAACATGCTGGGAGAAAAAAATCCCTCAAGCTCTGTCCTCCAATACGGTTGCCAAACTCCGGGAATTATAACTGTTCTCCAGACTACGGAGATTTAGGGTTGCCAAGTCTGGGTTGGAAAATACCTGGAGACTTTGGGGGTGGAGCCAGGAGAGGGCGTGGTTTGGGGAGGAGAGAGGCCTCGACATAATACAATGCCACAGAGTCCACCCTTCAAAGCATCAATTTTCTCCAGGGGAGCTAATCTCTGTCGGCTGGGGATCAGTTGTAAAAGTGGGAGATCCCCAGGCCCCGCCTGGAGGCTGGCAACCCTACGGAGATTAGTAGTTACCCTGGAGAAAATGGTTGCTGTGGAGGGCGGACTCTGTGGCATTATGCCCTGCTGAGGTCCCTCCTCTCCCCAAACCCCACCCTCTGCAGGGTTCACCCCCTCCCCAATCTCCAGGAATTTCTCAACCTAGAATTGGCAACTCCACACAGAACCCAAAACTTCTGTTCTTAGCCCCCACCCAGCACCGTATAGTCCTCTTTCTCTCAGTAGATTATATATATTCCACAGCCCTCCAGTTCCCCAGTGACTGGCAAGCCCAGAGACGGGTGGGGGAAGGGCCAGGATTTCATTAGTCTCTTATTGTTCCTCTGACGTCATTGCCTGGGAGAAAGAAAATTAAACATGGTCTAATCCCTCCTCACTGCTGTAGCTTCCCCGCGGCCCTGCCTTGCGTCCACTGCCAGATCCTAATCAGCTTGAACAAGAGGGCCCAAAGAATCTCTTCACGTGCTAGAAAGGACAGATAGGATTAGGGGGTCACCTCTTGAGTCACTGTTATGGCAGCAGCCGCTCAAAGCAGGAAACAAAGTGTTCCAAGAGTGGTTGTGGGGAGGACAGTAATTTTGGGGACACTCTACATCAAAAAGAGAGTTCTAGAACAGTTCAGGGTCTATGTTCCCACTAAGCTGTGGAGTCGTGTGAGCAAGAATTCTGCTTTGTGAGCGACTGGCATAAAAGTTGTGAGCGAGCGATTTGGCTACTGCATAAATCAGTTTGCTCTGGAGCCATCCTCCCTGAGCTGAGACAAAAATCTGTGAGCCGGAGGCGAAAAAAACTGTGAGCTAACTCACACTAACTCAGCTTAGAGGGAACAGGGTTAATATTAGTTCCAGGTGTTACATTTGAGAATTGACATCAGGTTACCCACCACCAGGGGTCGTTTCGTAGAAAAAGAGCTAGGGGGACTCATTAGCATAACTCATTCGCATATGCCACACCCCCTGACATCACCGGAAGTGTGTCATAAGGCCACGCCCCCTGACATCACCGGAAGTGTGTCATAAGGCCACACACCCCGCCCCCAACGGTCCCGGCCGCCACCTCCGGCCTTGCAGCTCCACTGCCGAGCCCCATGAGGGGCCCGGTGGTGGACTTGAGGGCCGGAAGCGGGGCGGCTGGAAGCAGGGGGTGGGGCTTCGTCATGTGCCCCGCCCCCCGTACCTCACCCGGGGGAACTGCGATCCCCCGCGATCCCCCCCCCGAAATGACCTCTGCCCACCATGCTTTTAAAGCATTCATATTAAAAAGAATGGGGAGGGGGGTATTTGAATCAGGGCTATGAGAACAGATCACAGAGAAGGTTGACCTGCTCCCCACCCTGTGGCCCCAGCTGAAATTGAGACACACACCCCTGCCACTGGTTTCTAATGTTTAAAAGGACGTCTTATTATAGAAACGCAAAATGTACAGCATACCTTGATTCAAGACCAGAAGTACGGTACATTAAAGAGACGATAAAATCTTTGGGATACAAGCTTTCAGTAATCAAATCTCCCCTCACCAGATACAAATTCCCACTCACTTCCCATGTATCCCGTACCCAATTGGCATCAGGCCACAGTGTGCGTAGAGGAGGGCCTTCGGCCTTTCCCTGAACTGCAAAAGCCCCAGGGGTGCAATACTGGTGAAGCCCAGCGAACATGTTGGTGGTACAAACTGCCGTCAAGCCACAGTTGACTTCTGGTGACCCCAGAGGGTTTTCTAGGCAAGAGACGTCCAGAGATGGTTCGCCATCGCCTTCCTCTGCATCTTCCTGGAAATCCCTGGACTTTCTCGGTCATCTCCCATCCAAGTACTAACTAGGGTCAACCCTGCTTAGCTCTGAGATCTGATGAGGCTAGCCTGGGCCATCCGGGGCTGTTATTTGGCCCAAATTCAGGTCCTTGAAAACCTCTGTTTCTGACATCTACAAGTTTCTGGCTCTCACTGTTGTGGAGGACAGAAGACACCCTCTAGAATAGTGTTCAGGGAGTGGAGGGAGCATAGATCATTTTGGCTCCCGTCCCTTCAGACGATTTCCCTTGGTTGCCCCCACCCGGCTTCACACAGCTCATTGCCCAAAATTCCCAAGTGGTGCATTCCCAGAATTCAGAATAAAAACAACCATATTTGCTTAAATTCTCCTATTTGCACAACCGATCCTGAAGGCATGTTTTGGTTTCCTTTGTCAAGAACGGGGGGGATATCGTTGCAAAATATAAACATAATTTTAATAAAGGGATCTTATGTCAGGGAATGCGAGAGGCATCGGGGGAGGGTTGCTTTTCTCCTTGACGCCCCCTCCCCTCAAGGAAGTTCCGACTCTGCGTCTTGCCCCAAATGTGTACAGCCATTCCTATTCTGGATCCTTTCCCAGTGGGGATTCAGGGGCGTGAACCCCTGTAGCCTGGCTGTTCTCCAAGTAGGACATGGCCTCTTTGCACTGATCCCATACTGGAAAGTTTGCATACTGAGTGAGTCATTCTGGTTGGTCTGAGTCAAAGGGTATTATATGGCTTTTCTTTAAAGATTGTTCTTTGGACCTTTTTATATTATTATTATTATTATTATTATTATTATTATTATTATTATTATTATTATTAT